AATAATTAAATTCGTACTTAATCGAGTTAAGTATAAATCCTCAAAGTACTTTGTCATTCAGGGTCAACTCATACTATTTTATCTCTCAAGGACATTTTTGTAATTTCTTAACCAAATAATTTCGGTATTACCTCTTAACGAAAATAATTATAATTTAGAGATCCTATGATCAATTGCTTTCCCGAACATTATCTTATATTGAAATGATTCCCTTAACAGACTTCTAGTATCCTCCACAAACCCTCATAAGACTAAAAACCGGTTATCCGCATTTCCTAAGCAAAACTAGCATTTCTTATGCACATCAATAATTTTTACCGGGTCAATATGTCTTTTCAGAGTTATTAACCAACTTCCAGGGACAATTCTTGTCATCTTACAACATAAGGGTATTTTCGTAATTTTACCCTACCAGATTATTCTCATAATTTCTCATCCAAGTACCTTTAACATATTACCTTTGATGAAATAAATTATAAAATACAGATCCAGGTTAATTTATTTACTACCAAACACAGAACTTGAAATTTAATTCTAACAACCCTTCAATCTCTTATATTAATCATTTGATCCGTATTCAGATACTGAATTTCTACCATATTCATATCGAGTGTATAAATTAATCAACTCCACAAAAGTGACCAACATTATCTCATTCATGCATTTACCAATATTAACATATTCCATAAAGCATAAAGAAGTAGTAAAGTATTACCTCGATTTCCGTGCAATATTGATCGACCATAAAAATTACATTCGAATGCCTTTGATATTCAATTCAACTTCCAATAATTCCTCAGATACATATCAACATAAATTATATCATAAATTGAGCTTAATTGCGATAAACAGATCGAATTGGGTAATAAATCAGTGAAAAATAGTTTACCGGGTTTGAATTTGGAGAAACGGACGTCGGATTCGGATTCAGGACGTCGAAAGCATAAAATATGACTTTTTGGAAATTTGGAATTTTTGGTCAAAATCAAAGTCAACGGGTTTGACCGGAAATTTCGAGGCCTTCGGGTTCGAATTTCCAAAAACGGATTGCGGAATCGAATTTGGAACGTCGAAAAATGTCAGGATAGGTATACTCAGTCAAAGTCAAAGGTCATTTAATGCCCGGTCAAAGCCCGTCAAAGTTTTGGTCAATAGTGGTCAACGCCGGTCAACGGTCAACGGGTCGGGTCGGGTTGTGACCAGTAAAACCGGTCAAAACAGTTCCAAAACCGGTCAAACCGGTCACTTTTTCCTTCCCAACAAATCAGAAACTTTGACCGCTTCACCTCTTCACGCGCTGCCGTCGACGAAGACCAAGGATGATATCGGCAGACTCGGAACGATGCAAGGAACACGATGGTGCGGGAGGTGTCGTAAACGGTTCATCGGATCGTCGTGAATCGACGAAAAACCAATTGAAATCGAGTTATTACCGACGATACTTCCGACTGAAATTAACGACGAACGGTGACGATTCATGATGAAAGGTTTGAGGGGTTTTGTTCATCGCTCGACAACGAACACGATGGTGGTTTCGACTCGTCGATCGGAGGTCGGACGACGAGTTGATCGGAGTTGAAAGTTGGTTAATCGGAGAGGGAAACTGAGAAAATTTATGATGAACTGCGCATGGGGAGAGTTTTATATAAATGGGATGTTACAGAGTATTTATTGTCAAATTATTATTTCATAATCAACTTTAGCTAATAAAAAAACTTGGGTAATTTATGAAGGATAAATATTTGGATTATTTCCCATTTACAAAAGTAATTAGAAAATATTAAAATTTGGCGCACTCTTATGTAGAGGTTTCGTTTATTATTTTTTGAAAATGGAACAATATAGTAAAAATATAGGTGCTTTTTTAATTATTGGTGAAATATTAAAAATATTGATGTTTTTGTTAACACATAGCAGTTTTATTTAAACGAAAAGATGTTGCTGTTGAAAAAAAGAGAGTAAATAATTGATTATCATTGTCAGGAGACTTGACAAAGGAAAACACTGATGTTTGTAACTATAGAAGGGGTTGAAAAAATTATGGTAAATCATAAATTTCATCATTTAATTTTATCTTTATTTTTATTTTGAATTAATCATTAGTATTTGATTTATTGATCGACTAATCTAGATTAAGTATTAGTAAGGGTAACTCTCCGAATTCAATTTGTTCTATTCACAAATGTCAATATTTGAACCATTAACTTTATTTAAGGAATCTAGTGCCTCATCCTACTAGACCAACTGATTGTTGGTATCTTTAATTTTATTTTGACAACTAAAGTTTAACTTTTTTTCAATTTAATTATTAAATTGTTTTTGTTTTGATCATGCATTAATTAATGGTGTGTTATGACATAACATAGTAACATACACATAAAAAAAACGGATTTAGAAATGTTAAATTTATATTAAATATTAAATTAATTTACAAACATTAAATACTAGACATATTAATTAAAGTATATCGATATTTGTCGTTGATGGCTGTGATTTTATTGAAAATGCAATTATTTCTAAAAAAATATTATTTAGAATAACCTGATGATATTTTATATTTTACGCTGGTGATAATTCATTAAGTCTAGTAATTTGGGACTTGAATATTTATTAATCTTTTGCAAACATCCCTAAACTTTAAAAATTTTATATTGGATGCTGAGTCTTGTAAAAGGGTGAAAAGAAATGAGATAAACAATACGTGACTTCCACGTCAATAAACTATGCTACATGTGGGCAAAAAAAAAACACGAAATGTCACTTTATTATTACCAATTTAATTCTGAAGAAATAAAACATGAGTAATTTAAAAGTTTAACGATTAAATTAAAAAAAATAATGTTAATGATTAAAATAAGAGTGGAAAGAAAAGTTAAGTGATAACTTTATAATTTAACCAGAAAATTAATAAAAATCCAAAGACGATATTCCTAGTAAGACTTTAAATGAAACAAGACAAATCGCGAACTATTTAAATTCCACTCGAAATCTATGTCAAGCCATCATCGAGAAACAAGCATGTATGATATGGTAATTATCTTATATAAATATATTGACCGGTCACTCTTATATGCTTCTTGAGAAACAAAATTGAATGATATGATCATTGTCGTACATTAATCTATTCCATACAGGATTTTATAAGAGTATGTTGTCGTTGATAAAAGCTCTTATACATATGGTGGATATTTGAAATTTAAACTGATGGAAGTTTCGATGGCAATGCCTTTTCTTCCGTTCAAAACCAAGAAAGAACAAAGAAGCGGGTGATATGTATGGAGAAATGATCACGTGCGACATTTTTAATATACGATTAAAAAGACGTTATCAGTTTTGTTATTATTTAAATAATAAAATCGATAAAAAATTACCGAAAACATTATTATTTTTACTGATTTTGTTATTATTGGATGTTTACCGATTTTGTTAACAAAACCGATAAAGCGCTATCGGTTTTGTTATTTTTTCTACCGATTTTGTTATTGTTAGACATTTTACCGAAAATATTTAAAACAGTGATGTTTTAGGTAGAAATAATAATGTTTTAGGTAATTTTTTTACCGGTTTTGTTATTTAAATAATAACAAAACCAATAATATTTTTTTTAGTTGTATATTAAGGGTGACACACTGTAACTACTTTCGTGTATGTATGTGTGCTCGGCTTCCTAGTGTTACATTAGTGAAATCCACTTCACCTGCAGCCAAGTTTATTCAAAACCTGCTATATACTTAAGACATATATCTAGAGGTGCAAATCAACATGGATCAAACGAATAGGGTTGTGTTCATCTATATTTGTTTAATTTTATGCATTGTCCATTTATTTTTTTCCGTTCATTTATTATTTGATATGTTTGGACTTAGTTGTTTAACATTCATAAATATATTCGTTTGTATGCATGAAGATGTAGATGCTTACAATATCGTAAGTACATGTTTATTATAGGTACAATATTTATATCAAAATAAGTTCAAAAAAGGATAATATGAGATGCACATATTTACAACGGTTTAAACACGTGTTTATTTATAAGTTTTGGATTTACACTACAGTATGTTCAAAAGGTAATAGCCAGAGATGTATATATTTATAACGGTTTAAGTTGTACATCTAGATTAATTAGTTGAAATTTAAATATAAAAATGAAGGAAATATTATTTTATATTTTTATAAAAAATATCATTAATATATAAATAAGTCAATAAATGAATTTATAAACGAAATTTTAAATGAATTTTTTTCGTGAATATAAATGAATCAAACATATGTCTACTCATGTTCGTTCGTGTATTAAATGAACAGATAAATTTATTCATATTTGTTTATTTAACTTAATAAACAAACATTAGTGAATGTTATACGAACAATTCATGAATAGTTTATTAAAATTTTTGTACATTCACACATTTAAATAATTACAAATAGTACGACATTTTTAACAAGAAAAATATAAAATAAAATATAAAATATTAATAGCATGAATTATTTACTCAAGTTTTACAATTATGTACCAATTAAAATTAAGATATTTAGCTATAAAAGCATCAATTAATTTGGTATTTTCAGCTAAATAGGATCGAAAAAAATGGGAAAATAATAAAATTTCTATAACATTAATAAGTTAAAAGTATTAAGAAAAATAACGTTGTCATTTCTAAAAGTTATATACTCGAGCAACTATATTGACAAAAAATATGTATTATTAATTAGTTAAATAAATTTTAACTTATAATCCCACAGTTTATTTAAAATAACAATAACTCCAAAAATAAATAAAAAGTTATTTCTATTGAGGATAATATAATATATTATTATGAAATTAATTATTCTACGTGACAAAGTTTCCTTAATTTTACCTTTAATTAATTTCCTCACCCCTAATAATATTGGCCAGACCAGACAAATTGACTCTTCCTCAGCTAAACCCAAAGTTACTAGTTGACATAACATAACAAAGAAAACCCTCACAATCATATACATATAAAATGCTTTGGCAGTATATCGGAAATATTTTTTCCCCATTTTATCGCGCCTGGATGGAACTCTGCCTGAGCATATAGTATTCATGATTCCAACTACACGATTCTCGCCCTACTTTCAGGGAAGTTTATTCTTCCTCTTTTATTTCCGATTTCTGTGTATTCAAGCTTTTTGGAGATAAGCTATTAGCTACTGATTTTTTGTGTGTGTGTCAGTTAGGTGAATATTGATGTTGGGTAGCTTTTCTTGGGTGATTTTTAAAGTGGGTTTTTAAATTTTTATTGGGATTTTAAGCTATATTCTTTGTGAGATTTGTTCTTAGTGATAGAAATCTGTTCAATATTTTAGCTCGATGAGCTGGGTATTTTGGGATTTTGTGACTGGTTTGTTTGGTAGCTGGAAATGTCTTGAGAGTGAATAACAATAGTTGGGTTTTTTTAGGGATATTGAGTGTTTGAATCACAAATAGGAGAAAGTAATAGTATTGAGTGTTTGAATGATCTGCTTGCTTGAAAGAAATAATGGAAGGCAACTTATCACAACAAGGGATGGTTCCTGTTGGTGGTTCTCATGGAGGCCTTGACGTACAAGGGTCCATGAGAGTTCATAATCATGGACAAAATCCTCATGGTATACCTCAACATCACCATCCTAACCCTTGCCAAGGTGCTGCTTCGGTGCATTCCATTAATGAAGATTTTGCACTCAAAATGGGTAGCATGCAAAACTGTGACCAAATCATTTCGATGATGGATTACAAGGGGGACAGAGGGAAAAGTTCGATAAGTGATGAGGATGACCCGAGCTTTACGGAAGAGGGTGTTGATGGCCAATATGATGGAACTAAAGGCAAGAAGGGCTCGCCGTGGCAGCGTGTGAAGTGGACTGATAAAATGGTGAGACTTCTAATCACTGCGGTGTCTTATATAGGTGAGGACGCAGCAGGGGGGTGCAGTGGTGGGATGAGGAGGAAGTTTGCGGTTATACAGAAGAAGGGTAAGTGGAAATCGGTGTCGAAAGTCATGGCAGAGAGGGGTTATCATGTTTCACCTCAGCAGTGTGAGGATAAGTTTAATGATTTGAATAAGAGATATAAGAAGCTAAATGATATGCTTGGTAGGGGAACTTCTTGTCAAGTTGTTGAGAACCCAACACTTTTGGATGTTATAGATTACTTAACAGATAAAGAAAAGGATGATGTGAGGAAAATTTTAAGCTCAAAACATCTTTTCTATGAAGAAATGTGTTCTTATCATAATGGGAACAGATTGCATCTTCCTCATGATCCACAATTGCAGCGTTCCTTGCAGATGGCTTTTAGAAGTAGAGATGATCACGAGAATGATGATGCTAGGAGAGATCAGCAGCATGATAATGTTGACGAAGATGACGAAGATGATGATGATGATATGGAAACTGATGACCATGATGAATTTGAGGAGAATCGAGCTTCACATGAGGATGATGGGGGAATATATGGGATATTAAGGACCTCTGCAAAGAGGTCTAGACAAGGCCATGTTCATGAAGGTGCTTGTTTGCAGAATGCTTTGAACTCTCAGGACTGCAACAAAAGTACTTTTTCTTATCCACCAATCACCCAAGCCGATATAAATCAAGTACCACCTGAAAACTCTGGAGCAACTTGGATACAGCAGCAGTGGATCGAGTCTCGCTCACTTCAGCTAGAAGAACAGAAACTACAAATTCAAGTCGAAATGCTGGAATTGGAGAAACAGCATTTCAAGTGGCAGAGATTTTGTTTGAAGAGGGATCATGAACTTGAAAAGATGAGAATGGAAAACGAGAGGATGAAGCTTGAGAATGAGCGAATGGCATTGGAGTTGAAGCGCAAGGAACTGGATGCTGATTAAAGCCACGTGAGTTTTATCTCAAACTTCGTATTATTTTTGTTTTTGTTTTACAGTGGCAGGCCTCGATACAAAAGTAGTTTGTTGTTGGTAAGCTGCTACTGTTCTTATTCATAAGTATTGCACATAGAATTGGCAGACTATGTTGAAAATGATGATACTGCCTGCTTTTATTGTGTAAGCATATGCATTGACGATTACGTTTTGTACTTCTTGTTTTTATGCCCCCTGTGAGATGGTATTATTTATGCTAGAAGAGAGTTGTCATTTGTGCAAAGGATCTCTTTCATTTAGCTTCATTGTATAAAATTGTTAGTTGGGTTATTTATAACAACACCAACAATAATAAAGTTCGTTCTCGGTGCACAGGGCTCTGACTGTAAACAAGGTGTGGGAAGGTGTTTGTCTTCTGTTTTGCATGGAGACGCTGGTTCCAGGGGATTTAATAGAATGCTTTCCTTTTTTATCATCCTAATTCTGCCGAGTTGTGTGCTTTTGTTCATATATTGTTCCAACTCTCTATCAAAAACTCTATCAAACTCATGAGGCTCAATGTTTGTTTATACTGTTTACTTTTATTATGATTGCTATTTTTGATTTCTTCCTACTTATAAGTATGTGTGGACTTTGGTCCATACTAGTGACTTATGTTTACTCGGCACTTGGCAGGGGTATGTTCAACTTATTTCAAGATTTTTATGTATCTGGATCCTTGTAAGATCATATCTCTATATTTTTATTTGGATATGTATTGGATATGAGTGTCAAGCGTGTATATTTGAAATAAAATAGAGTTGGATACTTCAAGAAAAATGGATGAAAGTCGATATAGCATAAATTATTATCTATATACACTAAATAACCCAATCATAAATTATTATTATAGTTATTAAAAAGTAAAAGAAAAAGAAAGATAGGAGAAGGTGACTCAAAGCACAACAATTACCAACTCATGAAGCCCTTTAAAAGCACTATAATTATTCGATGGTGTAGAACTGAAGTCATTGAGTGGCTGCTCTAGCGTTTTTGTTCCTTTTTTATTTATCTCTTGATCTTTTTCTGATACAGCTGCACCACCACTGTCACCATCATCATCACCTCCTTCCCCACTTCATACGTATATAACCTACATGCATATAGATATATAGCTTTATACACTTTGTGGTGAGTAAAGGCTTTTGAGGAACTGCCACTAGCTCGGAAATATCGTGGATGAGTTTCTAGCTAAGTTGATCTATGAATTTTGTCAATCCCATTGCATGTATCTTATTTGCAAGTTACAATATTAGAATGCTACTTTGTATGAAGCCTCTCTTAGAAGAACCTTGGTAATGGTTTGTTTTTCCCAAATGCAAAATGTATTCTCTTGGGAACAGTTATATTGAACTTTGATTGGCCTTTAATGATGTGCTTCATTTGTCTGTTTCATTAACCGTAGTCTCTTCTTGAGTTGCTACTTTGAAGGCATTGAAAATTTAGTTGTCTGAGAGAGAACCTTTTTCTTTGTTTAATCTGAGCTAGCAATTTCTATGTTTGTTATCAGCTAATACATTAAGAATCCTTATTGTTCATCTTGGCGCTACTGCAGCTAGCTAGTCAAGCTGTCATTGGTTTTGATACTGTCTTACTAATGTATGCTTAAATGAATTTCAAAGGCTTTCACATATCCCCGATGATAAGTTGTTATATGGTATAGTTCTTCTGTTCTGCATTTTGTCTTTAAATATATAGATTGTTTTTTATGAAAATCATGGGCTTCGCTATTGTTGAATTAAGATACTGATGAACTCCAAAGTCCCCCCCCCCCAATTTAAATTACATTTTTTAACTGGGTTGGTATATATAGCTTGGTTAGATCCATTCTTTGTAATCATTGTGCTTAGGTTTTTAGATAATTGCCTTGGGTTTCATTGAGATCGTGTCGGATTTTGCCCAATGATGGAAACTCAGAGTTGATTTATTTGTCTGGTTTTCAATTTATCTCTAGCTTTCACACACTGCATGCATCTCTCTCTCTCTCTCTCTCCATGTACACGTATATTGTGTATGTATGTGTGTGTGTGGATCTTCATTTATTTGTTTTATTTTAATTATTACTGGTGGTGTGTGAAAAGCTATTGGTGAATGCATTTACTGAACGGTTCATGATTTTGGCACAGCTATGAGATCTGAGGGCTCTTTCTAATTGAAGTTTTAGAGTTGTCGATGTCAGATGTTGTCTTCAGGCCTATATAGTCAAAAGATCAGGGTGAATGTTGATGTAAGACCTATATGACTGTGTTTCCATGTAGTCTTAAAACCCAAAAGATATTATTTTACCAGGCAATATTTGGAATTAGTTTCCTCATATCCCTCTTCCCTGCTCGATATGGATGCTTACTGTAGAGAGGTTTTCATGGCATCAATTTTGGCGTCCATCCTTTATGCTAGTCATCATTGGTTTATATATATTCTTGTTTCCCTTCATTTTTGTTAATGTTATCGTTTATATATATATATGGAGATTGTTTCTATAATGGAAGGGAAGGATATTATGTTAAGGCAAATCTTGAGAGCTGCTAACTAGGAAGCGGACAGACTAGCTAAGGATGGTATAGGATGATCGTTAGGCTTTGTTTTTGGTGTGTTAGGGTGCTAGCCTCCCTTACATTTCTGCAGGGATTTTGTTCTGTCTTATGTAATTAGTGTTAAGCTTTCTGCAGGAAGAAGTGTTTAAGTCTTATGTAATTAGGATTAAGGCTTCTAAAGTTTGATGTAAGGGATGGCAGTGTAGTATTCTCCTGATTAATAAAAGTAGTAGGCACTCTTTTCCCTCTTCTTTTGTCCTTCATGTTACTATTGTAATATGGAGGGCAACTAGAGGGTTTTTAACGAGGCCTAATATTCTATCAAAAAAATATATATATAGTTCATGATCTTATGACGAATTATGTCACTGCTAGTAGACTAGTAGTTGATGTGGAAAGGTTTTCAATGAAATCCCATAGTGTCGCCATTAATGAGTTTTTAGAACTATTTGAGTTCAATGGTCTGACCTCTAAGGGCATTGCAGGTTCTTTCTCCATATGGAGTTCAATGGTCTGACCTCTAAGGGCATTGCAGGTTCTTTCTCCATATGGTCTATTTAAAGATCCATTGTTTCTATGTTCCTTGGTTGTTGATTTTTACGACTTTATGTGTTTAAGTATACTGCTTTAATTTTAGATACTAAAATCACTAAGAATCTGTTTGAAAATCTATCTAGAATCGTCAGCCTGATTGAGTGCTGCACTGTGCTTGTTGGACCTCAATCCAATTATTGATAATGCATGCATGCCATGGTCTACGTGTTGTTTTAATTTAACTTATGATGCAAGCAGTGCTTCAGGATAATTGGTAATTGGAATGGTGTTTGATTTTCTGTCATAACTGTTGCAGATGTTGATCTGTTGAATGATTATTGTGCAGATTTGGCTATTTTATATTTCATCATTTTATGTTCAAAAAGTACTCTTTTTTTTGGCAAATTCATTTGGCAGCAATTCTTTTTGGCCCAATGATTGATAACTCATTGAAATGGAGTAGTTATTTCTGAATTGCGTTTTGGACCTTTGCTATCAGCAGTGGCATCAACATTCAATTTCTTCTTCTTCTTTTCCTTTTGTCATTTATGTTTCATATGCAGAACAGTTCTCTCTTTCTCTCTCTCTCTCTTTCTTCACATCGACATGGCTGCTGACATAGTGAAGGCTCGAAACAGAAACCAGTAAATTAACTGCAAATGACGGATCATATCCATGAGTTCTGAGGGCTTCTTTATCATGCTATGAACATTGCTTCCATGGCATATGATTTTCGTCTAAACATGGCCCAATTTTTTCCAAGATTTTGATGTACTTGGAGGATCCTTATAGGATCATATCTTCATAATGAATATGACCCAATTTTTTCCAATATTAAAATGCATGGTCTTGGGTTGCTAGGTCAAATCATTGATGCCTCCCTTAGAAGAACTATGATAAAGCTGCCTTCTTTAAATACAAAATGTATTTGCTTGGTGGCACTTGTATTAAACTTCGGTCAGCTCATTTTTGGTGCACTTCATATGTCTATTTGCACTTTCTGATGAAAAGTTACCTGTGACAGTTCTTTTGCTTAGCTATGAGATCTGAGGGCCCTTTCTAATTGCACTTTTAGAGTTGTCGAAGTCTGCTGTTGTCTTCAGGCCTACTTAGTTGAAAGTGAAGAGTGAATGATGTTTAGATGTAAGACCTATACGAGACTAAATCTTTGGTATTTGTTTGTTCCTCTCCATCTGCCTGCTCGATGATGGATACTTCGGGCTGATAGGTTGCTATGGCATAAATGTTGGCCTCATCCTTTTTCTTTGTTATTATTATCATTGTTATTGATAAAATTCATGATCTCATGACTAATGATGCTACTGGCAGGAGTGGATGTCGAAAAGTTTTCAATGATATCCCGTATAGTCACCATTGATGAACTGTTAGAACTATCGAGTTACGAGGTCTGTCCTCCAAGGCCATTGCAGGTTCTTTCACCATATGGTCTATATTTATAATCCAGTCTAAGATTAGAGGGCCCTTATAGGATCACATCCCCGTTTTCATAACCAGATGTGTCGAACATTAACGTAGGATAACAACATTACAAGTAAAATGTAAAGCATGTATTTGTTAGTTATCTGCAAGCAAGAGCTTGTTGACGTTCTGGTTTGCTTTGTGAGTGTTTTTCTCCCAATCCTTGAAGATTCATGTTTCACTTCTGCTATCCAGTCCATAGATTTCAACTGAAGTACACTATCTAATGTAATGCACGCTTGGTAAATTTCACCCGCGGTTGATGATTGTAAAAGTTAAGATTCGAGCCTAGGATACAGAGATCAAATTGATAGAATGTATAAGTGGTGAGAATCAAATGTATAAATATATCAATTTTGTTATCAAATGTTAAATTGTAATTTGTAAGTGACTTGATTGACACTATTTATATAATTAAATGGTCTCATTGATAAAAATAAAAAAATCAGTGATCATATTAAAATTTTTACATAAATAAATAGTAATGGATATAATTTACTTTACTCTTTAAAATATTCCATGGTAACCAAATCGAATTAAAAATTGATTAATAAATTAATATAATTAATATGATAATGATAAACCTGGAAATTATTGAGCTGTTAAAGTTAAAAATAAAAAGCAAGTGGGGATATTGGCAGTTGGGAAATTTGGCATGCTTATCTTGGGGATGAAAATACAGGCAGGTCTTTGTTTTCTAAAGTCTTCAATTTGAGTTTTTTTACTATGTTTTTTCATTATTAATTAGTTTGTGCTTTTCAGAAAATGCCCATTGGTTTATTTATAATTTTTTTATTTTGATTGAAAAAATACTATTAAAGAGTGTTTTTAAGATATTAAGGAGTACTTTTTTAGGGAATGAAAATTAATTGAGGATATTATATTTTAGTTTTAATATTTAAATATCTAGAAATAAATCATTAAATAAAAAAATCAAATAAAATACTAGAGAACAATGTGAGTAGATTCATTAATTTCATAATTGTTTGCATAATTTATTTTTAAAATTTTTGGCAACTCAATAAAATGGCTATAGTATCAAATTCAAACGGTAGAAAAATTGAATTATTATTATTTAATAACATGAATTGATTATAATGTAATATTTATTGAAAAAATAATTTATTAATAACGTACACACGTTTTATAAACTCGGTTACTCAAATTGAAACTATTGGAAAACATAATGTTTTCTTTTATTAATATTAAAGTCACTTAATAAATTGTTAAAATTTAATTTTTAATCGAATTAGAATAATAAAATAAATAAATAAATATAATGTATATAAAAGGTATTTCTGGAAACGTCGAACTTAACCTAAAAAATACAAGATTCTAGAAAGGGGATAATTTGGTAATTTGGGGGAGAAGAATAAGACACGTCATCGTCCATTAGTTTCTAGAAGAACGAAATCGAGTTCAGTTGTTGGTCTTCAGACTCAGACAATTCCCTCTTTTCTGGGCATCCGCACTCCAACAAAGATTCAGCTTCCCACGTGTATAGCTGACTGGGTCCTTTTCCCACGTGGCAGAAAGTTCCCCTGGTTACCCTTTCACTATACCAAGCCTTTAATATTTTATCAATATTTGAATTTTATAATATGAAAATATATAGTTTTATAGTTATTGAATTTTTTATCCATCCTTAGAAGTTAATTAAGAATTCAGTAACTATCATAAAAATTTTAATGATTATTTTAGTAGATTTAATATATTTAGTATGATCTTTTATTTTTCGTAGTGTTATTAGTAGTCTAAATTAATAATATATATTTTAATATATTTATAGTTATTTATTATTAAATAGAATTATTATTATTAGTTTTAAAATATCGAATTTCGACATTAATTTAATTAATTTTCATATTTTTTGGGTGAAATTTAGATTAAATTTCGTTAACTTAATATACTTGTTATAATAATAATAATTCACATGGGTTTAAGACCGGAGCGTTTCTTTTCTTTTTTCCCGAGTGGCAACTACAGATAAAACACGGTCCAAAAATCCCCAATAAAAATGTCATCTTTATTCGTTAGGGTTTCTCCATCTCCACCTTTGCTTCTTCCAATCTCTCTGTCCTAAACAATTCCATCCAATCGATTTTTTTATTATTTATTATTTCGATGTGATAATGCCCTCGACGGATTATCAAGGAAGTTCGTCACCGTTGACAAATCTCGGCCGTTCATTTTTACCCCTGAGGAGGGACCAAGTTCACTCGATGGAATCTCCGATCGGTGGATCGCCGTCGAACGAGGCGGAGTTCGAGTCTTTCCAAAAGCAAGTAGCCGACCGATTCCACGATTTAGCTGATGTTTCTTCCGATGAATTGCTTTCGCTGCCGTGGGTGCGGAAATTGATGGACGTTTTCCTTTGTTGTCAAGAGGAATTTCGTGTCATACTGTTTAACAACAAAGATCTGGTGAAGAAACCTCCCATGGATCGTTTGATCGCCGATTATAACGAGCGTACCGTGAAGGCGCTCGATGTTTGTAATGCTATTCGCGATGGGATTGAACAGATCAGGCAATGGCAGAAGCTTATAGAAATCGTGCTTTGCGCTTTGGACGGTGATAGTTATAGTTATCAGAGAAGTCTAGGTGAAGGGCAATTCCGTCGAGCGAGGAAGGCATTGGTTGATTTAGCGATTGCGATGCTTGACGAGAAGGATTCGGGTCAAGCCCTGGCTCATAGGAACCGTTCATTTGGTAGCCACAACAATAGCAGCTCTTTGGGTCATTTCAGGTCCTTGTCTTGGAGCGTTTCGAGGTCGTGGTCTGCCGCCAGGCAGCTACAGGCGATCGGGAACAACTTGGCCGTGCCACGAGGGAATGAGGTTTTGGCTACCAATGGACTTGCAATGCCCGTTTACACAATGGGTAATGTTTTGTTGTTTGTAATGTGGGCGCTGGTGGCTGCAATTCCATGTCAAGATCGTGGCTTGCAAGTTCATTTTAATTTCCCCAGGCAGTTCCCGTGGGCGGCTCCGATTCTTTCGTTGCACGAGAGGATATTGGAGGAGTCTAAGAAGAGGGATAGGAAAAATGCTTGTGGACTATTGAGAGAAATTTATCAAATGGAGAAGTGTTCTCGGTTGTTGGGCGAATTCGCCGATTCCGTGCAGTTCCCTTTGGGTGAGGAAAAGGAAAAGGAAGTGAGGCAGAGAGTGAATGAATTGAAGCAGGTTTCGGATGCCATGAAAGAAGATTTAGAACCCTTGGAAAAGCAGGTTAGGGAAGTGTTTCATAGGATTGTTCGTAGCAGAACCGAAGGGCTTGATTCTTTATGAAGGGGAAAGCATGAGTGACAAATCTGCAACTTCATGAAGAAGATGAAGATGGAAAAGAAATGAACAAGGATTCGAGGCATGCGCCTCAAAAATTTAAAAAACGGTACGAATGAAAACCAAAAAAGAGTCGAGATTTGCTTGTACTTATCACTATATATCAGTGTAACCAGTGTAAAGAAAGCAGGATATGTAGTTGGATCTCTTTGGTCCTGATGCTGTGTTCATCTTTGTGTTGTTATATTATAATCAAATGTCTGAGTAAATCTACAATATTGTTTATATAGTTGATTTTCTGTTGAGAATTTTGTTTAATTGTTAATGCTATATACTTTTCTTTCTGCTTCTTTATTCATATTTTTGCCTCTTAGATGCATCAATAAGATGGAAATGAAAGAGTTCTGTTTTGGCCAAGCTCTTTGGGCAAAGTTGCATGATGGTTTCTAGGATTTGATTCATTTTTTGATATGTTCCCAGCTTACTCATATCCTGATTCGAATTAACACTCGCACCCCAATTTGAATAAACATATGCTTCTCTAACACTCGCACCTGGATTTGAATAAGAGCTTATTTTCTTGTTTTTGTGTATTTTCTGGCAACTTAGATGACCTTATTTATGTGCACTTCCATGAACAAGAACAATAGAACATCCATGGTTTGTCAAGTCAGTTTTTTTTTAACCATTAAACTTTCTATGTGAAAATGACAGGGAATAAAGTTATACCATACAAAACTAAAATACCATTCATCCCCATACGTTTCTTTTCAGGTTTTTAAAAGCTGAAAAAGATTGATTAAACAGCAATTTTCTTAATTGTATTAATCAGCTTCTTTTTCTCTACTCATACTGCATGCAGCTACTCCATTTACTCCTGCAGTCTGCAGATTTATCACACTTATATAAACATCTCGATCTGGGGGTAATCCTATTTAATGAAAGCTTATGTGAATACTCTGGGTATCATTTCTGCATTAAATGGAATTCACACATTAGACTTTCCAGCTGATGGTCATCTGTAAATCTTTTGCCTACATGCAATTTACGCTTTGCTTTGACAGCTAAATAGCATGCATGTTCAAGCTGGATTTTTGGATTGGGTTTTGGAACAAACAAATTATCATTTGTTCATATCAGAATCGAGTTTTCGTGTTAACCAACATACGTAGCCGGTCTCGTTTTGATTTTTATGTTACTCCGACTTTTTGTTTGTCCGACAATCGTGCCTAATACATATTCATACCCTACAATAAAACCATGGCTCTGGATGAGTTCTTTGGGTTTAGGTAGCTTTCATACACAAAGCTGAAGAATCATAAATTTGTGAAGGAAATATGTGCCTAAACAACAGGAGTCACATTACTTGTCTGCAAACTTACTCGGGGTATCTTCTAAGCCTCTTTGATTAGATAAAAGGATTCTGACAAATGGGTGTGGATTATTAAGGCAAAAGCTGCATATGTTAATCGTTTCAATGGTGAAAATAGGTCACTCAGTGTTCTCTCTTCATTATTGGCTAATAATTCAGTATTGACAAGACGCTGGTCTCAGCTTTGCCCCCACTTTTGTTGCCTCATTGAATGCTTCATATTCTCTCATTACGGCTTCCTTAACCATCAACTTAATAACGATAGATTCAAATCTTAACTTTATTGGATATACTTTTAATAGTGTTAATGAGAGAGATGAATTTTTAACGGTTTATCTCCTATGATTTGAACGAAGAGCTATAGTGATGGTTCAATAGGTTGAGGGAGGTAATGAATAGTAGATATCTTTAGAGGGGGAAGAGAGTATAAGAGAGTTCAAAGAGTTTTTCTTTAACGTTGTTTGATGGTTTATATACTGACCTTTAGTGTTGATATTGGGCCTAGAGTCAGGGTCGTGACAGGGTTTTCGATGATCCTGTATAAATTCGTATAAAGGGGCCCCTATTTTCTAGATATATTCGATTTCGGGACAATAATAGTGGCGTTTTCTTGACAAACGCCGCAATAAATCCATCTATAATGGCGTTTTATCAATAAAGCCGCAATAATAGTGGCGTTTTTTTGAAAAAATGTCTCAATAGGTCTATCTATAGTGGCGTTTATTGATAAAACGCCACTATATATTTTTTTGGGGCCCCATTTTTTTGGGGCCCTGCGCGGTCGCGCAGTTTGCGCCCCCCAACCACGGCCCTGCCTAGAGTGAATATAACTATTAGTAAGTTGGCAAAATAAGTATGGTCATGTCAAGGGACTAGAGTTGATATCATATCAATAGTCTATTATTGGTCAAAAGATATGAAATTCCAGATGTTTAAATAGAGAGAAGAATAACAAAGGAGGTACGGCTTATAAAAGAAATACATCAAATAATAAATGCACAAATAAATCGGATTGAATCATGTGTCGGGTTCAAATCATTCATACTATTGAGAAGATTGATAGTAACAATATTAAGATAATCTACATGTTTATTAATGTTTCCTGTGTTCTCAATTTCATATTTGTCAAACGAATTTAATTAAGATAGTCATTAAACCCTAAAACCTAAATATCATTGCTACTTTTAGCCTCTAATAAGCACTCAAATTAATCCAATTCTACTACACATGATTTTCTCAGTTCACAACAATTTTGGGCTGCCATTTTCTTTTTTTCTTTACCATGCAAGGAAAGCCATGGGGAAGATAGCCACCACTGCCTGCAATGCAACCAACTTGGTGAATAATGTTGCATAAATACGATGAGTGACTAAAATGTAACAATTGAAAACATAAATGTTCGAGATTTAATAAATCAATAATAAAATTGACCAAAATTTAACTTTTTTATTTGATAAACTACACCACTGGTTACTTTTTTTTACATTTTTTATAGTTGAATTAAAAATATATATATAATATGTGGTTATTTTCGTTTTTATTTAATTAAGATGTGGTCACTAAGAGTTAATTGTCGCTAAACTTCAATGGATTGTTGATGTGGCACATTAAATATATAAAATTAAAAAAGATAAATTACACAAATAGTCACTAATATTTGATTTTTTTCATTTTCCTCACTAAAATTTCAAAAGTAACAAATTGATAAATAACATTTTTGTTTTTGATGTAATATAAGTTTGTTGTTATATTAATTACAATAATTGTATAATGATATGATTTTATATGTATTCGTGTTGTTTCTTATCCTTGCAATTTGTAACTAATACTCCTTTATGGAAGAGGAGCAAAGCAGCCTTGGCCTTGCGTCATCATTGTTGCTTGGGTTCGGGTTCAGGGTACTGTTTGTTTTTGTTTCTTTAACGATTACTAGAGGCGGAGCAGGTGGGGATGGCGGCCACGCAGGTAGCTTAGTCTGCGGTTGAGCTTTAAATAATTTGAAAGTGATTTTCTAGGCTAGGAGATTGTCAACCATCGGATTCTCAAAACAAAGAATCTGCTTTAAGAAGAAAGATAAATAAAGACACTACTGGAAGAAAACACACGTTTGAATACAAAATTCATAAAACATTCGAATATCAAACTGTGCTTTGTTTTAGTGTTCTTATCGATAAAGGCATTCACCACTGAATTAACTTGTATATCTTTAAAACGAGCAGTGATGGTGGATAAAAGAAACAAATTAACAGAACAAGGTAAATATTTTTCAGTCAAGTAAACATTTCTGGTTTGGTCTTTACCAGCAAACCCAAAGCCGACACTACTTGGCTCAAAGCTTTAGTCTTTACCATTATCAACCGCCATCGCTATAACTTCTCAAACTCCCCCCTTGAACTTTGTAAACCCTCATGAACTGGTTCCTTATTTCGAGATCAATCTTTAAAATCTCTCTAATGTCCTATCCCCAAGCCTCTTCTCTACTCGTCTTCCCGATACAATGTTAGCCTATTCGATCAAACGTTCGAATTGCCGGATAGTTTATATAGTCTGCAGTCCCTTTGACATCATTGTCTCACAGTGGCACTTTCTTAAAGAGACGCTAGATATGGCTGATTGGACATTGGAGGACCGTTTTGAGTTGTTTTGTAGAGGAGAAGAAGTGTTTCGATCTTTGTTACTTCTGAAACCTCAATGGATAAAACGAAAATTTATTCAAATATTAGTGATAATTTGTATAATTTTTCTTTTTTAATTTTATATATTCAACATATCACGTCAACAATCCGTTAAAAGTTTAACGACAGTTAATCCTCAATGACCACATCATAATTAAATCAAAACAAAAATGACTACGTATTATATTTTTTGAATTATAAGAAAAAATGTATAAAACTTAAATAAAAGTGATAATCCTATATTTTACCCCTTTTGTATTTTGATGAGTAAAAAATCTACAAATATAAATGAAAAATAATCAATCCGATAATTTACCCTAAAAATATCACATTGAATCGATCAAATTTTTATCCGATAAGCTTTATTAGTCAATCCAACTTTTTATTTAATGGAAATGAAAAGAAAACTAAATTACTTCAAATCTGGTGAAGAAGCAATTTCTTTGATTTGTACTATTTGTTCGGCAACCATGAAAACTACAGCAAAATGACAAGTCAATTTCACCGCCAGATTCCCATGTAAGCTTGGGTTTGAAGACCAGAAAGAAAGTGCATTGTTGGATTCGAATTAATATAACTTCAGTTCGTTTCATATTTGTTTTTTTTACATTATATTGAGAAAATAGCAATGAATATTCATAGATTTCCCCAACAGATTAGACTATCCTACTCCCAAAGAAACTGTTTCGGCACGTCACTATTATCTGGCCAATGTATTTCATATCTCCAACCAGAAAAAAGGCTTTAGATACTCATTAACTACATCCAAGGACTGTGAACTAGAGATGGCAAAATGAACTGCTACCTAAATCCATTCTTAATAAAGACTGGATCCTGCTCGATCGCCACCTTGAAAAGCACGCATCCGAAGGAGGCTAAGGTCGGAAGAAGCATCAATAAACAACCTTCTTTCAAACACTAAGCATCATTCATGCACACGATTTCCCATCAAGGAAATCAGAAAGCAAATCTTGACTAATGGTATAAACAGATCATTACTGACCTTTCTAATTTTTTTGTCAAAAGAGCTTGTGTCATAAGTTGTCACCGCATAAATGCAGTACACTAGTCCAGAATCCTTTTGTTCTTTATTGCACATGCCCCAGAGGAGGAACGATCGATCATTAGCTATAAAAACCAACTTAATTCCTTCTTCCCTACATTCCTTTGCCACAAAAGTTCTATTCGGTAATAAGGGATCTTTCCTTCATGGTTCCGGTTTAGCTAAAATCTTGTTTACTTACGAAGAAC